TTTAAAGTAGAGACACTACATACTGATATACTACCTGAAACATCAGCAGGAGAGGACTCTTTAAAGTAGAGACACTACATACTGATATACACCTGAACATCAGCAGGAGAGGACTCTTTAAAGTAGAGACACTACATACTGATATACACCTGAACATCAGCAGGAGAGGACTCTTTAAAGTAGAGACACTAATACTGATATACACCTGAACATCAGCAGGAGAGGACTCTTTAAAGTAGAGACACTACTTACTTATATACACCTGAACATCAGCAGGAGAGGACTCTTTAAAGTAGAGACACTACATACTGATATACACCTGAACATCAGCAGGAGAGGACTCTTTAAAGTAGAGACACTACATACTGATATACACCTGAACATCAGCAGGAGAGGACTCTTTAAAGTAGAGACACTACATACTGATATACACCTGAACATCAGCAGGAGAGGACTCTTTAAAGTAGAGACACTACATACTGATATACTCCTGAACATCAGCAGGAGAGGACTCTTTAAAGTAGAGACACTACATACTGATATACACCTGAACATCAGCAGGAGAGGACTCTTTAAAGTAGAGACACTACATACTGATATACACCTGAACATCAGCAGGAGAGGACTCTTTAAAGTAGAGACACTAAATACTGATATACACCTGAACATCAGCAGGAGAGGACTCTTTAAAGTAGAGACACTACATACTGATATACACCTGAACATCAGTAGGAGAGGACTCTTTAAAGTAGAGACATCTACATACTGATATACACCTGAACATCAGCAGGAGAGGACTCTTAAAGTAGAGACACTACATACTGATATACACCTGAACATCATCAGGAGAGGACTCTTTAAAGTAGAGACACTAAATACTGATATACACCTGAACATCAGCAGGAGAGGACTCTTTAAAGTAGAGACACTACATACTGATATACACCTGAACATCAGCAGGAGAGGACTCTTTAAAGTAGAGACCACTACATACTGATATACACCTGAACATCAGCAGGAGAGGTACTCTTTAAAGTAGAGACACTACATACTGATATACACCGAACATCAGCAGGAGAGGACTCTTTAAAGTAGAGACCACTACATACTGATATACTCCTGAACATCAGCAGGAGAGGACTCTTAAAGTAGAGACACTACATACTGATATACACCTGAACATCAGCAGGAGAGGACTCTTTAAAGTAGAGGACCACTACATACTGATATACACCTGAACATCAGCAGGAGAGGACTCTTTAAAGTAGAGACACTAAATACTGATATACACCTGAACATCAGCAGGAGAGGACTCTTTAAAGTAGAGACACTACATACTGATATACACCTGAACATCAGTAGGAGAGGACTCTTTAAAGTAGAGACACTACATACTGATATACACCTGAACATCAGCAGGAGAGGACTCTTTAAAGTAGAGACACTACATACTGATATACACCTGAACATCATCAGGAGAGGACTCTTTAAAGTAGAGACACTAAATACTGATATACACCTGAACATCAGCAGGAGAGGACTCTTTAAAGTAGAGACACTACATACTGATATACACCTGAACATCAGCAGGAGAGGACTCTTTAAAGACCAATAAATCACCTATGTTACCTCAAGTTAAACAATGCTTGGCTCACAAAGTAGTAAGATTTGTTTGTCACTCCTCTTCAGCCATTAGTAGAGATGTAGGAGAAAGTAAAGGATGACAGGCAGCAGGGTGAGAACAGACCACTGTTTTAATGCACATGGATATGAATGCAGTGACTTAGAAGAAGTAAATAAAAAATGTGGTGATCAGACAGCTTCATTCTGAGCGAGAGGACGGGTGTTTCTGCAGCTTGGCTGGAGTTTCAGACGGCCCCTCTCATCCTCTGCCAAAGGATCCAGGGGCCACCGGGACTCCAGACGGTTTCGGAAAGCCTTTTTTTGTATTTATTTTCCCCCCAGCAACAGCTTTTTTGGAATGAGGCAGATGTAAACAATTACAGAGCAAAACGCTCATGATGGGGATGAAACAGAGAAGGGGGGGGTGAGATGAGTTTCATCATAGAAAAGGCGTAAATAGAGATTATTTTTTAAGTAAAAGGACCCCTCTTCCAGTGAAAACAGTCAGGATCAGCGGTTTCTCTTCACATGGGGAGTCTCAATCGAAGGGAAATAAACTGAGAATGTCACAGATGGAAAATCTAACATTTGTGGAAAAACACAGGCGTCACACACAGTACGACAGGTCGGAGGAAATCCCAACTGGATCCAACAGAAAGCCCTTCTTCTGTCTTTAGATATATAAAAAAGGGAAGCCAAACTGTCTTCATACAGCGGTAGAAAAAGTAAAGTTTAAAGAAGGACATGGCAGGAAGCCCTTCCTGTTTTCATCTGACTCGTCAACGCTAGAATTTCGACTCTAGATTGTTTAAAGAAATAGGAAGCCTAGATGATTTTATTATCAAATCAAATAATCAAATCAAATCAGGTTTTATTT